AAGGTGCTAAACATAAGCACTAAACTATAAAGGAAAAGCAAGGCATCTGTAATCAATTCATCTTTAAAGAGAGAAATAAAAGAAACCCAAAACAACAACAACAAAAAAAAAGGACACTGTACCACACAGCAATTAAAATCTGAACAGTTGGAGGAATAAAGGAAAAATTCAAGGCAGGCCTGCAGAAGGGGGAGAGAAAATCAAACAAGCAAACAAGAAAACTGTAACAGAAATTTCAAGCCCACAGGAAATATCTGATGCACTAGTCCTATTAATAGCATAAAAGTTACTGGCAGATACTATCACCCAGCATTTTATTAATTAACTGAAGATACACAGATACAAAGGGCTTGAAAGTACAAAGAACGAACAGGCTGCACAACTGGCTCTTTGCAAAGAACACAGTGTGCTTCGTACAAGGATACAGTGTCTAAATTACCCAGCAGCACTTTTTGAGTCAAAGGAAACCTCTAGTTAAACAAACTGCAGCGTCCTCACCGCCACTCAGTCACTTCTTATGTGTGTGTATCTATGATTTTCCATGCAGTGGGTAAAAGCAACCCATCTGAAAGGCTTTTATAAACTAAGACTGTAAAACTTAGTGCATGTGAGTTGCTAGGAAAATGAACGACACACTTCTGTGAAAATGGATTTTCAAGATTTTAACTCGGATTTATATTTTAGTATAGTTTTTAGCCCATCAGTATTATTCCCAAACACTATTTCTTCATGCAGAAGCATTCAAATAGTTTTCCTTCTGCACACATAAGGCTCTATGAACCTAACAAATAAAGCAGTGTTGACATACCTAAGCCTAGGGATTTATTGCACATTGGGGATTCTCTTTTCTGAAGACTTGTTGACAAATACTCAAACAGGCTCTGTGTCTTTGGCAAGATCCATGTGCTACATTTTTCCCCCCGATCTGTCATCAGTCATATGACCAGGCAGCACAGTAATTCAGTGAAAGGAGAGAATACAAAAAAGAAGTTTCTACTTCTTATTGCCAGAGCTTATACATCACTATTTTAGTCAACATTTTCTGCAACTTCCTTCAGAAAATACTGTATCTCAGAAAAATACCAAGCAACAACAATTGGTCATCAGTTTAAATTGCAAATAACAGTTAACTTTGTTCTAATTTTTATTTTCAAAGCACCCTTTTGTAATATGACATTGCCTGTAATGCCCTGCTAAAGGATATGATTTTGTTCAATAAAGAGACAATAATTGGAAGTCAGAAGCTTTTAGAAATAAATTGGCATTCATGGGCTGTGGGAAACTGCAAAACCTGGGTATTTATAGATACAATTTTTTCTAGATGGAAAAGAGCAAATAAATTATAGCAAACAATTTATTCCACACATATTGTCATTTGTCCTTTTCCAGAATGTAGAAAGAATCAGAAATTCATGAACAAATCTATCAATTATTTTAATAAATCCAATTACATGCACTCTACAGTTCATTGTTCTGACTGCTCTGCTCTGCAAGGAACAGACAAGACATACATAGAGGATACACTTGTTTTTTTCATTAGAAGTAATCAGTCTTGAGTTAGCTAAGTTCAAAATTTGCCTTCTGCTTCAAAGGAACTATTTCTAAAAGTTATGCATGTGCTAAAAGAAATTAATTTTTTCTGAAAGAAGGCAGCTGCAGTAAGTTAAGTACATGCTGACTCCATTTATGGATCACTGCTGTAGCAAGGTCTCTCATCCAGTAACTTCAAGATAAAAAATGCACCATTTCTTTTCCACTACCAAAGAAGCCTTTTCTCTCTGTTAAAGAATGCCTTGGTGAAGAAAGGACATCGAAGGCAGCAGGAGCAGTCAGAAAAATCACAACATATAACAAATATTTAGGGAAAACACGCTGTTAGCATTTGCCAAGTATTAACTGCAGCAGTGTATAAACCATTCACATGAAGAATATGAGTGTTATAAAATTCATGGAGTTCAGAGTAGGTGAGTTCTACAATTAAATAAAATGTCTGCAGCTACCTACTCAGCCCACACTAGTTAAATGAAATGCAGTTTTCAAAATGACCAGAGATTATCCAAGTATTATCAGAATTTTGGAGGAGGAGAAGGGATTTGGTGTCAGGATCCATAGATTTTTGCTGAAAATGTGGCCAAAAATTTCTAAGTATGCTACCTTCAGCTTTCCATTCAACAGCAGATACCATAAAGACCTTGAGTTTTAGTATTTTTGCCCTCACTGCAGATGCATTTCTAGTGTGGAAACATAATACAGCTCTATGCTCTATTCTCCATGCCCTCTTAACCTCGGGGGACTAGCTAGGTGCCCAAAGTGAAATGTTTATTGGAGGAATGGCCTAATGTTCTACAGAAATAGCATAAGCAGGGCCTCAAAAAGTTCTC